AAGTTTTCAAACACTTATCATAGAGGATGACTAAAACCACTAGGAGAATGACTGCATCCAACGAGCACATAAGTAGCTGCAGATGAAGGTTCAAATCCTTAGCCATGGTGTCTAAAAATCCTTCATTGCCTTAAAACCGTGGCATGTAACATTTTGAAGGAAAAATGAAGATTTGGTCAAGAAAACATGAATTGAATCGAATGACAAAAGTAAATTTATTTAACATTAATCACCTCACAATAAATTATGTAGAATTTACATGTTTAAATACTTTTTATTGCTAAGCAATAGTCCGTTTTCTTTTTTAAAGGAGCAATTATCTCTATGAAAGGTGAACGCCTTCTTTTTCTAAAGCAAGAGAAACTATGATAAAAAGGGAGTTTCCAAATGAAATGTGATAGTTTTTACACATCTTTCAATAAATCTCTCCAAGATCCCTATTAATGATAAAATGAAAAATATTTACGGTGAAGAGGAACATCAACCAAGTGAAAATTGGGTAGTATAAAATAAATGGAACAGGTGACCAAAGCACATGAAAGGACCCATCATCACTGCTGTGATAATACTGGCAAAAATAAATTAATAAAAATATTATTATCTGAATCTGATCATAAAATAACATTACTTTTATGTAAATTTCAATCCACACGTAGCTCTTGGGTTCTGTAACTCCAAGCGTGCATTGAAATAGTAAGTCTTACCAATCTAGTCAGCAAGTATCTTTTGATTACTTTTTTTCCAGAACATTTTGAGCTACTCTGACCACTAATACCATCATGGTCAACCCTGCACTTTCCTAATCTCGTTCTATAGCACTAAAAACTACGCTTCTCTTCTTCATGTTACCTGAGCATCTGACCCACTCCTTAGGGATTCTGGACATGGATGCCTTCCTGAGTTGGTCTGTCACAAGTTGGATGTTTTCAATAGCTGCGGATCATTAACTCCCAATGAGAATTCTTCATGCCCTTAGGGAGCCTGGACGGATGAAATGCAGAGAAGGCTCTGGACAGGGACAGAAGTAATCTCAAGAGCTGACCTTGACTCTCTTAAGGAGAAAGAAAGAAAACAAGTAGTTGAAAACAACCTCGCTAGGCAAGAACATGAGAAGTAGGAAATCAAAGGTCTCAAATCATAAATCTACCGATTTTAGGAGAAAAAGTGGACACAGCCTCTGACCTGGGACGGAACCGTTTGCCTGAGAAGCAGCCATTTCGTCCTCATCCTCCTCCTGTTCTGGGTCATTTGCTTGGCTGATGTTATGTGAGGAATCACGGCTGCATGTTGGAATGTTTCTTCATGGGCATCAGCTTCTCCCTTCATCTTCATCTGCTTCCCCCACACTCACAGGCAAAAGGACACTGAAATGCTGAAAAGGCCACTCTCTCCTGTCCATTGTCACAGGAGAGAGTCTGGTACAATGAGCTCCTATATGAAGAACAAACTGAGTCTTTCTTTCCTGTCTTCCTGTCCTCTCCCCTCCCATGGATATCCACAAATTCCCACAGCAATGAGAATAAGGGCTGTTCTCTTGCCCACCACCCCAACCCAATAGGGAATCCTGTTACCTCCCATTGACCAAAGCCTGCTGTCATCTCTCACAAATGTGTCCAGAAGCCCTCCTGACAACTTCTGGCCTCACCTTAGAATCACCTGGAACACCTCATTAAAACAGTGATGTGCCACCCAGAACAGTTGTCCAATCTGTGGGGTGCTGGGTGCAGGCATGTTATGTCTTAAAACTCCTCACATGATCTAGTAGCAACTCAGATGGGAACCATTTAGCTTGAATGAGCACCAGATTCCTGGGAGATCCGGGGCCACTCTAAGACTTTATGGCTCTGCAGATCTATAAGGTGCTCATGAAATGGCATCTTTTAAGTGCTCCCAGGTGGTGCTGACCTTGCTCCCCAGACCTCTTTTCCAGTAGCACTGGGCTACAGGTATCAAAATTGGCACACCTGAGACCTCTGGTGATGTGAGGGGTGGGGTGGGAACTACTAGAAGTCCAGGATCCCTGGGTGGATTTCCTCCCTCTTTTCCAGGAAATCAAAGAGAATTATTTTCAAAATATAAAATAATGGACAGAGATTTTGGTGCTGAAAACCTTGAAAAACTGTGAGCTGTGGAAATATGCTGACCAAATTACTTCACCATAAATGGACGGGCAGTGTAGGAACCAAGTTTCAGGTTGATCCATTCCTTCCTTCAACATTTTCTTAGCATAGACAAGAGGGACTTGAGTGCAACAGCTCCTTTGTAGCTCCCAGCTCACTAACTCCCAGCTTCCTAACTCAGGAAGCTATGTTCTGACAATGTGACGGCGCAGAGACTTGAGTCTGGGGCCAAGGGAATGCTGGATGGCCAGGAGAAACTCCGGAGAAACTGACCACAAGAACACCACCACTCCTTACACAGAAATGCAGAAGTAGCTGATTATCTCCCTTCTAACCTTTTACTTCCATACAGGTGTCGAAACCATTATTCCACCTGCCCAGTTCCACAGTTTGCCCGCTTTACGACCTCTCTGGGCTGGCAATAAAGAGCCGTGGGCCACCTTACCTCACAGCGCAGGCGCGAATACGATTACCAGGCCCGCCACTTTCAAAATGGGCCCGTTTCATGCAAGCCCACTGTGTCCCCAGCTTATAAAAGCAGCCAGGTAGAGCCGGCCCGAGTCAGTTCCGAGGACCTTCCTTTTGAAACGCTGTGCTGCCTTCCTTGTACTAGAGCATAAGCTTAATAAAATTTCTCTGGAAATTTTTTCTGAGGTTTCCTTCCACTTCTATTTCTATGTTGGGGAATAGAGGAGCCCAAACGCAGGTGACATTATGATCATCCAAGTGCACACCGAAACAGCTTAACATTACTTATTAAGTGCAAATAGATGTTTCAACATATGATAAAGAGTAGAAAAAAATGCAGAAATTATAATCTAAAATAAAAACAATTTATTAAAAGAGAAATCAATTTGGAATATTTTTAAATGTGATGACTTCTAGGGTCAATATTTTTCAAAAAAATTGAGACTACCTTATATTTATAAAAGAATAAGACCTTGTTAGGAGATGTCAGCAAAACTTATTTCAAAATTTGACATTTACAAAAAAGCAGAAGTTCAACAGACTAAGATTTATCTCCATATACTTCTTTAAAAAAACAATGAATCAAATGTAGATTTGGGAATCTTTGGATAATAGTTTTATGTAGATCATATGGTATTATGTAACATTGCCAATCTGCCAAATTGTCATGATAGAGATTTTAATGTGGACTCCCATGTTCACAAACAAATAAATTCATGGCCTGTGGACCCTTTTATCAAACTCAGAATAGTTTGGGAAAATCCAATTATACGTCAATATATATATATATAAATTTATTGTTTGTAGAGTTTTGTTCCTTGTAAAATTCACAAAGCAGTAAAATGAACATAATTACAAGGAAAAAGAGAATTTCCTCAATTGCTGGAAATTTTTAATGTGTCTCACTGTAATATCATTATACTACAGATGAAAATTATTAGATTATTAGATTATTAAAGAAGTCAGAATTATTGAAGACTTCAAAAATTTGAAACTAGAGGAACTAGTCTGACCTGGTGAATTAATCTGAGTCACAAAAACGACGACTGTACATTTTTAAGCACACATGGAACACATAATATTTACCACTGTTAATTTTTTACAAATCAGAACTTAAATAAAGAGACTATATAGGAAAGATTATTATTCTAGAGGGAATGTTCTGAATGCAAGATTTACAAGGGTCTCACGGATCAGACAGAAAATGGTTTTTCTTATAGGGAAGGGTTAATGAGAGTAGAAAAAATAAATTTTAAAAAACATAAAAAGACCCAAAGATATAAAGAACAAATTGATGGTTGCAAAACATGAGTGATTGGGGAAAGGGAATAAAAAATCGAATACAAGAAAATAAATAAAAAAGGTATATAACAACAACAACAAGAGAATTAAAAAATTTTTAAATGCAAAAACATGATAGCAGGTGGAAGAGGTGAAGGTAAAGCGCTTGAAGAGTTGGGGTAACTGCTCACCTCACAAGAGATTCTTGGGGGTATAAACTAGTCCAGTAACAGACACGAGGTACGAAGAATGATTTGTGACAAGTTTGCTGAACGTGTGGAGATAAACGAGAGGGCCTAATACCACACTGATCTGGGTGCCGCTAAAATACTGCAGTGTGATCCTCACTGAAGATGGACCTATAGTTTTGTCTGATTTGCCTGACATCAAAACGCCCATGACAGAACTCTCAAGATGGCTTTCATATGTAACAAGTAATCTCCTAATACAGGTACTGACAGCATCAGTACCGATATGCAAAACAATGTTTGGACAGAGTTCCACCCTGTTCCAACAAATGGTCAGAAATGTAAATTTAAAAAAAGAAAAAAGATAAAAGCTTTCAGAGTGAATATATGAAAATCTCTCCTTCCCTCTCCCCCGCCCCAAAGTCCTCATTGTATCTTTCATGTAAATTATTTCACTGAGTCCAAGCTCATAAAAGTTTCATCCTTAATTACTGAAATTTTCTTTCCTAATTTTACCATGTTTTAACTATGTTTCTATTTTCACTTCTTGTAAATCAAGAAGCCATGGGTTGTATTTGGGTACAAATAGGCCATAAATACAACACTATGGTGTATATTCATAAAAGGCAAGCAGGTTTTAGAAGTCAGAGTCTGGAACTGTACAGCTAAGGTATTCTGATTATCACCTCATAAATGTCATAGGGCAGAGTGTGGAGAGAAAAACCCAGGGGCACATGGGTATACAAGCACTAAACTGTGTTCTTTGATCCAAAGAAAATTGTTATAGATTCCATTGACCTTGAGAGCCCAAGGTGCACTGCTTGTTTATGTTATGAACTACCTGATAGAGATGAAATAAATCTGCGTTGGTACAAAAAACATTAATTCACTTACGGTTAGAAAAAAATGATTAAATTTTATTCGTTAAAACATGAGCATTAAGATATATTCTAAGTAAAACTAGCAAATACCAGCACTTCAATATGAATCACACACATGCTCATACTGTTCCGGTTCTTTTTATGTTCTCCTGTCAGGTAACTGCTCTTTCTACAATTTCCAAGCATAAGACAAATTTTCCATTCATCTTTGATATAAAAGTTATTGCCATTCTATGGAGACACTCTCCACTTGCTCTGCATTACTTCTACCACATAATCACCCACTAGTCACCTACCAATCTCCTTCCATGACAAGCCCAGATCTTTCACGTCTGGACCTGCTGTTTTATGGTCAGTTGGTGGAGACTTCTTTCCTATGACCAAAAGTAGCCTGTCCAGAGATGGGGCACTCTGACCCTAGTAAGTAGAAATACTTCAAACACAGTTTTCTGTTCTCTGCCTTCTGCCATACTAATTCATACAATAATGAATGTGATATTCAGTGCCCTCGTTCTTCCAGGGGACAAGGATATAAATGAACCATGCCCAATGAAGTAGGTGTTTTCATTGTATGGACTGCTTCCCAAAGACCAGCCCGAAAGGCCTGGAAAATAGGCATAAGTTCAACATGCTTTGGACTTCAGGTTAAAAGTCATAGTCATATAGTTTTTCTCAAGAAAGTGCAACTAAATATTATAACACTAAAGGTAATGAATGGGCTGTTTGTACACGTCCTTGTTCCTGTGATACATCACATGTCCACAGTATTAAAATTGTTGGATTTGTAAAGTTTCTGCAGTACGTAATGTCTTAATTTCAGAGAGCTGGAGACTTAGTTATTCCTAGCATGAAATCTGGACTGTGGGGTTGGTAGGGAGAATTGGTAAAAAGAAAAAAATGATTAACTACATTCATTACACTTGCACAAATTCTTGAGTGAATCCTGAATACACACTGTTGCTTACTATTTCCATGTTCAGTATATTAGTTTCTGTCCTCCTTTAATTCTGTCATTACTTACCCCAAAACGTAAACATTTGATGAAAAGCCTTAAGTACATTTGTAAATTTACTCTCCAAAAAAAATATCTTCTGATGTCCGTTTTCATCTTTGAGTAAAAGCATTAACACGCACATTACTTTTGCGAGGTTTCTTGAAGATGTTTCTCATAATCTGGTATCTAGTGAATTGGGAGACCTAGATAAAGGTTCTGACACATATTCACATAATTTCTCTTCACGGTGGAGTCTCTATTCTTACATAATACCTGAACTCTAATGGCTTTACCACACTCATTGCAACTGTAAGGATTCGCTCCAGTGTTTCCCAACAGTTGATCTTTGGATAAACACTTAGCCACACATTAATTTGTGTAGGATCTCTTCAGAACTTATATTCTTATAGTAAGTAAAGAGTTCTAATTTAAAACTTTGACATATTCATGGCACATGCAATGATGAGCTATTTGGTGAATGTAAGGCAATACCTAATAGCCCTGCCACATACGTTATATTTCTAAGGCCTCTCACCAGTATGGGATATCTGATAGAAGTAGGCTTGAACTCACACTAGAGGCTGTGCCAACCTCAATACATTTTAAAGTTTCTTTATGGTATAGTTTCTCTGATGACTCACAAGGTGAGATTTCTTACGGAAAACCTTGCCACACTCATTACATCTGTAAGGATTTTTCTCCTGAATGGATTCGTTGATGTGTAGTTAGGCTTGAACGCACACTGAAGTCTTTGCCACACTCATTACATTTGTAACATTTCTGCCCAGTATGGATTCTTTGATGTCTAGTTAAACCTGAATGCACACTAAAGGCTTTGCCACACTCATTACATTTGTAAAGTTTCTTATTAGTATGGACCGACTGATGGTAACTGAAGCTTGAACGCAACCTAAAAGATTTGCCACATTCAGTACATTTGTAAGGTTTCTCTCCAGTATGGATTGTCTCATGACTAGTTAGGCCTGATCGCAAACTAAAGGTTTTGCCACATTCTCTACATTTGTAAGGTTTCTCTCCAGTATGGATTCTCTGATGTGTGGTTAGCGCTGAATGTGCAATAAAGGCTTTGCCACACTCATTACATTTGTAAGGTTTCTCTCCACTATGAGTTAACTGATGGTAAATTAGGCTTCCACGCACTCTATAGGTTTTGCCACACTCACTACATTTGTAAGGTTTCTCTCCAGTATGGATTCTCTGATGTGTAGTTAGGCCTGAATGAACACGAAACTGTTTGCCACACTCATTACATTTGAAAGTTTTTTCTCTACTATGAATTACTTGATGACTAGTTAGGCTTGCACGCACACTAAAGTTTTTGCCACACTCATTACATTTGTAAGGTCTCTTTCCAGTATGGACCAACTGATGGTAAGTGAGGCTTGAACGAACCCAATAGGCTTTGCCACACTCATGACATTTGTAAGGCTTCTCTCCACTATGAATTAATTGATGGTGAGTTAGGCCTGAACGCACACTAAAGGCTTTGCCACACTCACTACATTTGTAAGGTTTCTCTCCAGTATGGATTCTCTGATGTACAGTTAGGCTTGAATGTACACTAAAGCCTTTGCCACACTCAAAACATTGGTAAGGTTTCTCTCCACTATGAATTATCTGATGACTAGTTAGGCTTGCACGCACACTAAAGGCTTTGCCACACTCATTACATTTGTAAGGTTTCTCTCCAGTATGGAGTATCTGATGTTTAGTTAGGTTCGAATGCACACCAAACTGCTTTCCACACTCATTACATTTATAAGGTCTTTTTCCAGTATGGACAGACTGATGATAACTGAAGCTTGAACGCAACCTAAAGGCTTTGCCACACTCATTACATTTGTAAGGTTTTTCTCCAGTATGAATTATCTGATGACTTGTTAGGCTTGCACGCACCCTAAAGGCTTTGTCACACTCATTACATTTGTAAGGTTTCTCTCCTGTATGGATTCTCTGATGTGTAGTTAGGCTGGATTGAGCACTAAAGTCTTTGCCACACTCATTACATTTGAAAGTTTTCTCTCCACTATGAATTATCTGATGACTAGTTAGCCTTGAACGCACACTAAAGGCTTTGCCACACTCATTACATTTGTAAGGTTTCTCTCCAGTATGGATTCTCTGATGTGTAGTTAGATTTGAACTCACCCAATAGGCTTTGCCACACTCATTACATTTGTATGGTTTTTCTCCACTATGAATTAACTGATGGTAACTAAAGCTTGAATGCAAACTAAAGGCTTTGCCACACTCATTACATTTGTAAGGTTTTTCTCCAGTATGGATTCTCTGATGTGTAGTTAGGCTTGAATGCACATTAAAGGCTTTGCCACACTCATTACATTTGTAAGGTTTCTCTCCACTATGAATTATCTGATGTCTACTTAGCCTTGCACGCACACCAAAGGCTTTGCCACACTCATTACAGCTGTAAGGTTTCTCTCTGGTATGGACTATCTGATGTTTAGTTAGGCTCGAATGCACACTAAACTCTTTGCCACACTCTTTACATTTGTAAGGTTTCCCTTCAGTATGAATTATCTGGTGGCTAGTTAGGCCTGAACGTGCACTAAACTCTTGGCCACATTCATTACATTTGTAAGAATTTTTCCTGCACACTTTCAGGTCTTTTGTCAGTACTGAAGGACGTCTAGAATCATTCCTATATACAGTACTAACGGTGGCTTGGACTCTAGAAAAAACTCTTCGAAGTGGAGAAACAAAGGAAATATTGTTGATAGACTTCTCGGCTGGATTACATTCATCAATGTTCTCTTCAGTATGAACTATCTCTGTATCAGCCCGATGTGACTGAAACCTTAGTCCAAGCCTATTTTCAACAGGCTCGTGTCCAGCATACTCTCTACCATGCTGACTTCTTCTGTCAGTGAGATGTTTATTATGAGTTATAGGCATTCCTTTGTGATTGCTTTCATCATCTCTTTGCTGACAAGCAAAATCAAGCATATGTTCCTGGGTTTTCCTGAAGTAAAAATCTTTGATCACATGGCTTTCATATCTTCCAAACATCACCGATTGGAATGCTCCTTCTGTATTACCAGGTTTTGTTGGTTTTAATTTCTTGATCACATATGGAGAACATCTATCTACAAAGGAAAGAAATTCCATATTTACCCTATTAGCTTGTAAATAAATGTTTCATATAGAAATCTAAAATTACACCAAAAGTAAAGCTATACTGAACATAGTTATGAAACTTCCCAACATGACCCTCAAACTTCTGAAATAATAAAGAAACAGGATTCTTTACAACAAAATAGTGGTCACATGCAATTCAAATTAATTTTAGGGTGGCCTAGTTTAAACACCCTATGATAAAAATACTCAGGTCATGTAAACTTAAGTTAGCTTTCAAGAAAAGAATATTTTTCCACCATGACTACAAAATACATACCATTTGTCAATAATCATATGTTATCTCATAAGTGTAGAAAAACATACATGATACACATTTTTACCTAAATATTTGACATAAAGGCTAAAGAATAAGTAGTACACTGTAAAGATAAATTACACAAAGTATTGCCTAAAGAATAATCTGAATACAGAGCAGTCTAAAATTAAGCAACAAATATAACACTGAGAAAATTAAAATGTCTATAAAACATTTAAAAAAACAAGTTTTAAATATCAGTTATAAGACTATCAACACACATGAAGAAAATGCATTTGAGAACATCAACAAGCAGTGCATTTTAGTTATATTGCGTAATACATGCTGAAAGAACATCATCTGTATATCATAATAAAAAAAGGATCCTAGGAACCCATGAGAAAACCAGCAATAAAAAACAGGTAACCATATTACAGAAAGTTAACTGTCGATCTCTAAGCATTCTCTCTTTTAGAAGGAAAAAAGAACTTCTGTTCTAGAAGGAGCACACAACATGAGAATTGGAAACTATCTGGGGATCACTGATATCTAAATATCAGATCAGGAAGACACATAACTTCATAGAGAACAATATTAGAAGATGTCAAAACTCACCATGAAAATTTTATGACTGCTACAAAAAAGCCAATCCATAGAGGGACACAATATGTATGCACGGCCATTTAAATATATGGTACATTGGATTGGCCAACAATAGATATAACAGAGAGTCTGTGCTTTGAAAATTGATTAAGGTGAGGGAACATGTTAGAAAATAAAAACACAGAATACGATGCAGGCAAAAGAATATCTCATAAGAAAGACACCAGGAAGTTGATATGTCTTGTTAAAGAAAAGTAATTTTTGAGTCTTCAGTAGAAAAGATGCAATGTCCTAAGCCATCTAACGGCACTAATGTATTTTGAAAATTCTTGTGGGAAATTAGCAAAATACTTTTAAATAACAGCAGTAGACTCACAGGGTTTATGTACATAACCCTCATTTACATAGGAAGTGACAGAAACAGGATTGGAATCTGGTCCTACAGACATAGCTGACATGTTTTGAAGCATGACTGCCCACCTGGCCATACAATCCATTCTAAAAATGGTTTCTGAGTCATCACCCACCGAGGCTGAATCATGAAGAGATAAAAAATATGAACATACCTATAACTTGTAAGGAGATTAAATGACTAATCTAAAACCATCCAACAAAGAAAGGTCAGATAACATCACTAAAAAATTCTACTAAATGTTTAACAAGAGCTAACACCAATCTTCCTCAAACACTGTGTGATGCAGCAATTCCACTTGTGGGGGCATATACAAAAAACTAACAAGAGGATCTCAAAGAGATGTTTGCATCCCTGTGTTCACAGAAGCATTATTCACAACAGCCCAGATGTAGAAACAACTCACATGCCTACTGAGAGAGGACTGCACAAACAAAACACACAATGGGATATGATTCAGCGTTCAAAATTAAGACACTTATCCTGTCATTTGCTACGATGTAGATAATCGAGGACATTCTGATAAGTGAAACTACCACTCACGAATAAGACAAATACTATATGATTCTACTTATAAAAGGTATCTAAAATAAACAAATTACTAGGCATACGAAGGAGAATGCTGTTTGGCAGGCTCAGGAAAAAGAAGAAAATAGAAAGAAAACGAGATTCTGGAAAAAAAAGGCTGAGTGAGAGATGTCCTCAGATCTCTCTCCTTGAAACAACAATAAGCTGAACACCTAAAACTGAACGAAAACACCCAAACTGCACATCAGCACGTCTGAGCGTGGGATCAGCATGTAAGAGCTACCACAGGTCAGAACCCAGTGTGTCGGGAGGTGGACTGGGACAAATAAAGATGCTACCTCTCGCAGCCGCTGGAGCTCCTTGCAGAAGGAGGGCGAGGGGAGAAGGTGCAGCGACTTCCCTGAACAGTCTTGCCTGAAGTGCCAGGACTTTTCTACACAGCTGGCAGCAGGGCTCAGTCATCAGGGCAGAAAGCAGAGAAGTGGGACGGGACCATAGGGACACAACAGTTGATTTCTACCAGCTACGGTTGCAAAACCGAGGCTGAGCCACAGCTCCCAATCCCCAACCCTCAACCCTCAACCCAGAGGGCCAGTCCTTCCATACCCTCCAAGACCTATCACCACGGATAGGTCTATAAGAGCTATCACCCAGGGGAATCTGAGCAAAAGCTGCAGAGACTGAAGCTACCTCTCTCAGCCTTTGGAGCTCCCAGCAGGAGAAGGAGGAGGGGAGAAGGTGCATCGACTTTCCTAAAGAGCCCTGCCTGGAAGTGCCGGGACTTCTCTACACAGCCAGCAGCAGGGCTCAGTCATCAGGGCTGAAAGCAGAGAAGTGGGGCGGGACCACAGAGACTCAACACTTGATTTCTACTGGCCTCATTTGCAAAACCGAGGCTGAGACACAGCCCCCAAACCCCAATCCAGAGGGACCCTCCCCCCATACCCTCCTAGACCCATCACCGCGGAGCCTCAGGGAAATCAGAGCAAACGCTACCAAAACTGTTGCTAACACTGACAGGGAATGAAACCGACAGTAGCGAGTGTGATTAAAATCTACAAGAAAATAAACAATGTTAGGCTCTCTATAAAAAGCAGGGATCCAAGAGGCTTAGACACCACCTACTAGAAACCAAAAGAAAAGCGCCTTCTTTTCAGCAGACTAAAGAGAGACCTTTATATAATAAATCTCCTTTCTGGAAAAACAACAGAATACACTTCCATTAATGCCCAGGCACAGAAATAGTCTATTAAACACCATGAACAACCAAAGTGATGAGGCATCTCAGAAAGAGAAAAATCTCCAGAAAATAAGCTAACAGACATAGAAACATGCAACTTAAGTGACAAGAGAACTCAGGATGGTACTTCTGAAAAAACTCAATGAGTTCCAAAACGAGTCATATCAACAATTTCAGAAATTGCAAAAACAGCTAGATGAGCAGAGCAAAGAGACTGAAACCCTCAAAAAGAACCAAATAGAACTTCTGGAGAAAAACACACTGTAAGAGTTGAAAAATGAAATAGCAAGCTTGGGAAAGAGAGTTGACCAAATGGAGGAAAGGATCGTGATAGCGAAGACAGAAATCTAGAAATAAATCAGAAGGAAGAAGAGAGAAACTGAGGAATGGAAAATAATGAAAGAGAAATACAAGAACTAGCTGATATCATCAGGAGAGGAAACATAAGAATAATGGGCATTACTGAAGGGGAGGAATAGGAGCAGGGAGTAGAAAGCATTTTCAAACTAATAGGAGACGAGAATTTCCCAAATCTAAGGAATGAGCTGGAACTTGGAATTCAAGAAGTCAACAGAACACCCAATTATCTCAACCCAAACAGGCCTTCACCAAGACACATTGTATTAAAGTTATCAAAAATCAATGACAAAGATAGAAATCTCAGGATAGCCAGGGAAAAGAAAACGGTAACGTATAAAGGAAAACCCATTAGATTATCATGGGACTTCTCAGCACAGACCTTACAAGCCAGAAAGGAATGGAATCAAATATTTAAACTATTAAGTGAAAGGAACTAGCTGTCTAGAATGATGTATCCAGCTAAGTTCTTCTTTAGATATGAAGGAGAAATAAAGACCTTTTCAGATATAGAAAAATTGAGGGATTTCTCCACTACAAGGCATGCACTACAGGAAATTCTGAAAGTTGTCAGCTCACCTAAAACAAAATAACAACAAAAAATACATAATTACGAGAAAAGTGACTATCAGGCAAATAAGAGTACAGGAGTGCAACCTTTACTAAGAACAGGCATTATAAGCTTAAATAATAATAAGAAAATTGCTATAGCAAGATAGTAATGATCGTTCAGCATACATAGGGACAAATTGAGATAACAATGAATGAAAAAGAGAGAATTCAAAGATCCAAATTCGCAAAGGGGAATGGAGATAAGGCACATGCAGAACAATATGGATGACTGTATATATATAACTATTCTTTACATATTTGTAATGTAAACCACACACAGAAGATTCAGAACTGAAGTATATAAAATAAAAAAAGAAGAACCAGAAGGAAAACCCACAAAAGCCAAACAAAATAAAGAAAACAGAACCACAAGGACAAGGAAGCAATGAAAATACCAAGCTATAAGAAAGTGAATGATAAAATGGCTATAAGAAGACCTCATATTTCAATAATCACCCTAAATGTAAATGGACTGAACTCACCAATAAAAAGGGATAGAGTTGCATATTGAATCAAAAAACAAAAACCCACCATATGCTGCCTCAAGGAGACACATCTCAGCTCCGAAGACAAATATACTCAAAGTGAAAGAGTGGAAAATGATATTTCCTGCC